AGGCCCAATAGGTAACATTTCAATTCAGCTCTGAGATATTTTAAAGTTGTAAGGGCCAGAGCTGGTGTCCTGGTTTGAACTTGCATACAAATGAGCATCAGAAATGTTCACAACAACCAACAAAGACTGAATATACAATATAGTGTATATATGCATTATGGCATCTCCCAGTGTATTACCTGAGCTGTAAGACATACCTGGCAACAGCCACATATTGCTTCAAAAGTCATTCCATGTGCTTTGTTCATGCAGAAAAAGGAAAACAGGACCAAAACTGAATTTGGTCTTTTAACATTATGCCTCCTAGCCTTTCTCCATAATGTTTTATAACCACGCATCAACCACAAGTGGTGAGCATATTTCCCATCTGCTGGGGCTGAATGTGCTGTGATCAGTACAAGCATGAAGAGACAGAGAGACACTGAAACTGTGTCCAACTAGATTAAAATCTGGAAAGCTGTGTTATCCAAGGGATGTATTGATTCTGAGGATATCAGCAACATTTCATGTTGCAGTTCTGCAGTCTTGAGCTGAACCTGACACAATGGCTCCAAACCTGAATCTTGTCTGTTTAATCAAATATCCAATAGTCAAAAAATGAAGATGCAATAAAATGGAATAAAACAGACTCTGTAAAAGATGATTAACTGTTTGCTAAGTGCTGCCATCCATAGGAATTGTGTTTGCTAAGCAGCATTCCACATATCTTCACATAAAACCCCTCTTGTTGGGAATTGGGATAAAATGCAATTGCCAAAAAATACAGTATATTGTGATAAAGCCTCTCTCTATGTTAGAAAGTACAGATAATATCTCTTCTCCATGTTCAGTTACTGTCACGACTTGATCAAACTCAGCATGAATGGACAGATATCAAGATTTTTTGTTCTCTTAGAAGTTTTCTTTGCTTCGTTTTCCTTTAAAATCCTTCGGGATAAGCTACTATCCTGTGCTCATAACCTAAACACTGAGTCAGACAGTATCAAATGGGCAGCTCACTTCCTGTAACTTTTCTGTGCTTTTGGCTGTGGAAAGAGCCTGAAATCCCACCTTCATACGAAGGACACCTGGGTGGAAGGAGAAAGCAAGAGCAAGACCCCCTGTCATGTGATTGGTTACCCTCGATTTGTAATGCAAAGATCTGTAATAAGAGCCATCTGTCTTGCACAATGCCTCCCTACACTGAGCACTTTTACCAGGGCCCCCAAACCACAACCAACTGAGACTTATCCCGAGGCAGTTTATAGATGAAAAGAAAGGACTTGGATTAAAGAGGCACTTCCCAGGGATGCCTGCTGAATGGTTTTAGGAAGCCAGCCAAGGCGCTGAGGCCATTACTCACCAAATAGTCAACCCAGCTGACAAATTTTCAAAAGAACCAAAGCTTACTGGCCAAGATATGTCCATTCCTCTTCTATATCAGTCATCCTCTCATTACACTCACACCACCATAATCTGCTATAACAGGAGGAATCCCTCTGTGGCAGTGTGCATTAAGAAATCATGCTTTCATGTATATATCTGTCATAGCAAAATTTCACCATTCCTGAGATTCTACACTTAAAAAATAATAATTACAAGGAATAAGAACAGTGCTTTTTCCACCCATTAATTCTATAAAGTTCATCAAGTTCCTGTTACAAAATCAGAAGTATTACAACGGTTTGATTGCAAAAAAAAAAAAAAGGAAGGTGCATTGTAGCAAGATGGGGCTCAGCCTCTTTTCCAAGGTTATTAACAACATGACAAGCAGACATAACCTAAAACTACATCAGAAGGAGGTTCAGGGTGGACATCAGGAAGAATTTTTTCACTGAAAGGGTAGTTAGGCACTGGAAAAGGCTGCCTAGGGAGGTGATGGAGTTACCTTCCCTGGAAGTGTTTAAGAAAGAATTGGATGTGGCACTTAGTGCCATGCTTTAGTTGGCATAGTCATGTTCACTCAAAGGCTGGACTTGATGACCTTAGAGATCTTGTCCAACCTTGATGATTATATGTTTCTATTATTCTGTGATTAATAGAGGACATGAGCAATGCTAGGTTACCTTTTGGTTGCAAATGAAGCAAGTTTACGTACTCACACGGGACATGATGTTTAAGTCACATGCCCTAGTGCACTGCATCTTGCCGTCTTAGCCAGCACAATGTGATGCTGGGCTGAGGTGGTATTTCTGGGCAGTTCCTTGGCAGCAATGTTTATGGACCAGCCTTCTGTGGTCAGCAACAGCTTGGATGAAATTTCAGAACCCTCCCTACACTACCACTGGAATGGTATTCGTGTACTCATACTGCAAGGATTGTGTGCTTGCATGTGTGTATCAACCTCCCAAATGACTTGTAAGCAAAGTGCACTTAGAGGCAGCATAGGCTGGAGCCTGGCAATGGTCCCACAAGTAAGAATGCAGCTGCATATTTTTCCTGAAGTGGAAAACTTGTTTTCCGTTGTTTCCAGAGCAGTGGGTATGCCTCCAAAAGCAGTGAAGGAGCTATAGCTTTCTGCAGCTGGTGCTGTTGCTAGTTATCATCTGTAATAACAAAGATATCAAGGTTTAGGCTTGTGCTGTGACAGCACAAATGACTGGTGGCAGGGAATTATGAACAGAAAGATGGGGGAATGCCAGAGAGGGAAAACTTCAAGGAGGTGGTGATAGTGGCAGTGGTCACTTTGATCAAGATAAGGAAGATGATAAAGAAGATGATGACTGTATGTATGCCACTGTGTCTGATGCCAGAAGGTTTGCTATGTTCATGTACCTACAGGTTCCTGGCAAAAAGGCAAACCTATGACTGGGGGTGGCTGACCCATCCTCTGGTGCTAAGGATCAAGAAACCATGGTGGAGTAAAAAAAAAGGATGCAGTGGGATGATTAGAGCAGAGAATCAGTGAAATGGTGGCCAGCCATGCCAGTTTTTATGGAGGACAGTGTGTTTCTGATTCACATCACACACTGTCAGTGAGAGCATTTCTTCAGAGTAGCCAAGTGAAGCTGTGCCAAGGGTGCCCTGATGCCATTCCAGCAGCAGACACACTCAAAGCACAGGTATGAAATGCAATCTGTGCAAGTCTGGCCAGGAGACCTCCCAGGCTGGTAAATGACAGAAGATTGCTATTTTTATCTGAGAGATACAGCTCAGTATTTCAGGCCCTAATGCAAAACCTGAGAATCAGCAGCTGAGGATATCTTGAGGCTGAAGCTGGAGGAAGAAAGTAGCAAAAGAATGATAATTGCCTGGGTGTACTTTATTACATGAATTTAGTTGTAGAATAAAACTGATCAGCTGAAAATTGTTCAGCATTTAAAAAGATGACACGATCACGTCCAACATGTCCAATGCATGGTTTTCTCTTTGACAGCTTGTCCATAAAAGACCACTCAACCAAATTAAAAATAATCTGAGCCCCCACAGAAGACTTCCTTATATAACTGCTCAATTATTTTCTGTATTATGGGCATCCTCTTCAGCACTGGTTGTAATATGGAATTTGCTCAATCCTGTGCTGTTTAGCTACTCAGTACCCAGGGCCTAGCTCTGTTAAGATCCACTGCCTAACCCACCTTTACTGTAAGAAATTGTAGACCTGTTGTTGTTGCATTAACATGTAGGTAAGATGTATAGGCAAGTGTCAGTGGTCTAAAAGTAGCTAAAGAGAAAACTAAGATCATGAAAAAATACAAAACTCTGAGGAAAAGGAAAAGAAGTCAGAAGGCAGAAACTCAACACATAGGAGGATCAGGCAGTACATTTCGCATGCTGATTCTTATTAATCTGGGCTGTGGATCAGAATCCATTATGCTTACTTGCTATGGGAATTTATATGGAACAAAAATGTCACCTTCATTCCATGTTTTACAACCTGTTATGTAGGGGAAAAGAACTCCCAACCACTACTGTACTTTGGGAAGTTTAAATACTAATATAGATTTATCCCTTTATGACACCTAGGTATCCCCAGGAACTGAAACAAAATTGACACACAGGCACCTGGGGGAAAGGATTAAAACTGATTGCAAATTCTTTCAATTCCCAAATAGTGGATCACTGACATTTAGTTTCTGCTGAGTGTTCTGCAATTTTCACAAAATATTGTTGCACCACTTCATATCAAATTCATGTGTTCAGGATACCATAAACTTAAGCAAATATAAATATAGCATGACCTTTGACTTACAAGGCATAAATGGCAGTGATTAAGTTTTGTCATAGTCTGCCTTTAAGTCACAGGTAATTATATATTTGTATAAAAACTAGTCCATAGATGTTTAAAAATGACACTTTAACTAAATTTCAGGAATGAACAACTGGATAGAATTGTTATGATATATAACGCTGGAGCATAAAAAATTGAAGCTTTCCACTTACCTAGGAAAATTTTTCAGTTTTATATTTATGTTCTCATATATAATTTTTATTATACATTACTTACTTTGGTACTAAGTTTTTTCTTTTAAAGTATACCTATATACGGAGGTATATATCAATATCCACAGGTATGGCAAGTCTTCACTTGTACACATATGAAAGACACTGATTTTCTTACACACTTTATAGAAAGCAAGTTTAGGGAATGGAATCTCAAGCCCTGGCACCTCACAGAGGTTAAGATCATGAGGGCCCAATGGTCTTCTTTCAGAAGTAGCCTCAGAGGCTCGGTTAGGCTGGAGAATCTGTCCACCAGCCCAGCTCTGACTGTAGTCACTTGAGCATGACTGAATTACATTTCACAGAAGGCATTTGGGCAAGATTCATCTCAGCCAAATTTTGACACTTAGAGAGGCACATCTGAGGCATGATTTGTCTCATTCAAGGATAATCTGTCCCGTGAATCACTGGCTTGAAGTGCCCGTTTCTGCCCATTGACCACAAAGGCAATTAACTAGAGGGAGGATGTTTGTTATTTAGACACATAAAGGTATTTGAGACATATTGCACCTTGAGCCTTCACCTAAAAACCAAGGACAGAGAACTCCTTGTTTATGCAGTCAGTATCTTACCCTTTTAGAAGACTCTGCCACTCACTGCAAGAGATAGGTGCTGCCTCTCAATCAGACTGGCTCACCTGCAATTTCAGATTATTATGAATTTTCTCTGGCAAATGGAATGCCAATAAATTTTGCAATGAAAATGCTTTTATATCTGTCAATCATATCATCACTCTATCTTCTGTTCAATCTTTCACTCAATTTAAATTTTGATTTCATATTTACCTATGCAGATGAAGTCTCCTTAGAAAACCCAACTCAGCTTTGGACCAATGTGTTCTGAAGTGTTATTATCCCACTGAAAGGTTGGCAGCTGGGTTTCTTTCTCCTGCTAAAAGATATTGCTAACGCTTAATAATTACGGGAGGGCCTTCAGCAGCAGAAGTGTATGAGCATGATGCAGTAGGGAGAAAACTACATTACAAGCAAATCAATCAGCTTCGAAAGAGAAACAAAAATTCATTTTAGATGTCAAACAGCACTTATAAGTTTAATTGTAAAATGGTACAGTAAATATTTTTTCCAGTTAATTGATCTAAGAGAAAAAAAGAAAGATTGATTTTAAAAAGCTTGATTTTTCAGGGAGATGTCCTATTACCCTCTGTAATTACATTAGTGTGAAATATGTGAAACAGTTACTCATATTTTCTACTTTGAGCTTAATGACATTGTTTTGGGCATAAAACACTTTACTGAGGGAAGCAAAGTGAAAAGAGATATCTTCTTCCTATTCTAATAAAAAATATGAAATTCATTATGATAAGGGTCTTCCTTGCAGAAGTTTAACAGCTAGTTATAAGAGAGTAAGTATAGAGCACAGCATCAGAAAATAATACAAAGCTCCTTCTAAAACACTAGAGGTTCTAGCCGTTAAAATTTTGATATCAAAATTTTAAAAAGTCATTAAAAAAGAATTTATGATTTCATCATCCATGAGAATCTCAGAACAAAACTCATTATTCTGAGGGGCAGGAACCCATAAATTTCAGTAGACTTCAGATTAGGTAATAAAATAAGAAAGACCAAAACAGTGGAGAAGGAAATCTGTTAATCATCTATTCAGCTATGAGATAGAGTTGCCAAAAATATTTTGGAAAAGTGTATTATCTGAGAACATTGACATTATTAAAAGATTGAGCTTATTTAGGAAAAGCTTATAAAATGTGGTTAGGCATTGATACGTGAACTAAGAGCAACTTCTTAACTTTTTCAGAGGTCACTCAATTGTACAAATTGTACCATACAAAAATTTATGTTGAAAATACTACTGATTACGTTGCTTTTTTCTTACCTCAAATGGATCTCAAAGTACTGTGCACAACACAAATAATTTGCTATCCAGGTTTAGATGTTCACAACAAATATCTGTACCAAACCATTTCTGCAGCTGGTATGACCATCCTCTTCAAATCAGTTCAGACTCAGATCCAAGCTTCTCAGTTAATTTCTCTCTCTGCCTTATAACAAAACAAACATTGCCCATGAGAGCTTATGAGTATGAAAAATTTGGAATGTCATCTTTGACTTTGCAAAATAGACCAGCAAACCATGGGTTAATACAAACATTGCATTTTTTCTTAAGTCCTACTAGAAACTGACTTTGGAAAGGGAAACATTTTTTATAGATATTAAGGATGTGAATTTGGCTTCAAATCTGATAATCTGATAACATTACTGAGTTAATTTTTCATTCTATTCCTGGGTAAAAGTAGTAATCCTGCAATTCTAGAAGTTCAGTTTTTCAGAAGAAAACTTAAGAGGCAAATTACCCTCATGCAATTGTGTCCTGGTTTCAGCTGGGATAGAGCTTATTTTATTCCTAGTATCTGGGGCACTGTTATGGTTAAGTTTAGTATGAGTATAATGATGATAACAGAAATATTTTAGTTGTTGCTTTAGTAGTGTTTACTCTAAATCAAGGATTTTTCAGTTTCTCTTGCTCTGGCAGTAAGGAGACAGCACTTCCAGGACAGCAGATCCAAACTGGCCAAAGGGTTATTCCATATCATAGGAAATCATACTCAGTATGTAAACTGTGGGGAGCTGGCTGGGAGCTGCTGATCACTGCTCAGGGACAGGCTGGGCATCATTCAGAGTGTGGTGACTAACTGCATTACGCATCACTTATTTTCCTTGTTTTATTCATCTCTCTTTTATATTATTATTACTTTATTTTAATTTATTTCAAGTATTAAACTCTTCTTATCTCAACCATGGACTTTACGTTTTTCTAATTCTCTTTCCCATCACATCAGAGGCAGGAGGGAGGTTGGGGGTACTGAGTGAGTGGGTGTGTGCTACTTAGTTGCCAGCTGGGGTTAAACCACAAGTTGTTTAGATGCAGGCAATGCATATGTACCTGTGTTTTTTCTTGAGAAACAACACCTTCATGAGATAGGATTAATATTTCTTCCCAATCAGACAGACACATCTATGAGTCCAGGCAGGTACCATCTCATCCACAGATTTCATTAGTGTTTTTGCAATTCAGGGAAACTTTTAAATAACACTGATCCCTATTTCAGCAAAATTTGTTTTAGACATTCACTGGCAAGGAAGACTCTTCACCAAATGAGACTGTTTTGCCTGGGAGAATGGGGATCTCATAATCTTGAATTCTTTGAAACTGAGTTTCCTTTTTTTTTCAGACCATCATGGAAGGCAAAGTACAAAATATTGAGCTGAGAGCATGATGCAACAATAGGAAAAATTAAAGTGTGCAAAAACATCCTTCCAATTTTTGTTCAACTACCTGTACATTTTTGGGTTGATCATATGCCTTATCAAAGTGAATTGTTCTTTTATACTTTCCAGAGTACTTATTTCTAAGCTCTGGTCTTCAAGAGGGCTGTCTAATGACAGCTCAGTTAAAGCTCTTTAAGCCCCCAGTCTCACAGTCATGTTAGGAATCCCTTCACATATGCACTCCCCCAAATAATTCAGACTAGGTTCAGAAATAAAAAAGAAAAAAATATTTTAGTCCTTACAAGCTGTAAAATGCTTTTTAAAATTTGTTGCTCATTCATTCCAACTTTCCCAGTCCTATCATTCGGCTCTTATCTTTTCAAGAAATGTGCCCACAGTTTATTTCTAGTCATAGAGGTTTAAGCCCAATTAAGGTAGTGAACTTTTTGTTAAAATTATTCTTGAAGAAAACCATAATATCTCATGTCCAGTTACATAAAAGCTAGAAAAATAATCTGTTAGATATCTGTGTCTGAAATTAGTAATCCTTTCACTCTATTAATCTGAAGACCAAGAATACTGCCTATTTTAATAAATTCACTTTAGGTCAGGAAACATAATTTTTTGCATTTAAAATATTTTAGCATTTAGGTCACAGATGCTTGCTACAAGCAGCTATATGTCTTTTTATGACTGTTCTTGTCTTCAATGGCTTTTAATGAACAATGTCTGGGAAAAAGACACAAGAAAGGGAATAAAAGGAAACAGATGGAGGAGTCTCTACTGGAATGATATCAGTATAGACTTGCATCAGGTAATTTAGTTTAGGCACACTTGCATGGTTTGCTTAGCAGAGCAGAACAAACAATCAGATAAGCTGGCTGGAGCATATTCACAGGCTTTCATTGGAACAATAAAGAAAAAAAGCCAGTTCCACTGAGTATGTTGAACACTGACCCCAAGACATGGAACAAACAGAAAGTATGATTTATTATAGCATTTATATTACAGAGAATAGTATATCAAGGAGCAGCAGTGGAAAAATGCTTTTTGATCATCTTGTAGTTCATCTTTTTCTCTCTTCCATCATTGGAAAAGAAATAAAACACTGTCATTGATCTACAGGTTTCAGGTTTCCAACAGCACAACATAAGCTGTAAAACATGCTCCAGTCTGCTATTTCTGTTTGTGTGCATACTCAAGTTGAGCAGTTTTTTACATTCACTAGGCTAAAGCAGTAAAAAAAGAAAACCGAGAAAGCAATGCCTGGCAAGCAATTCGTCCAAATGGATCACATACACTTTTATTGGATGTGCTGGATAAGCTGATATAATAGCCCAGAAAGATAAATTATGTATGAATAAAATCCTGTGATGTCTGTTGTGATGTCTGTTTCTCGGAAAGTACATAAACACTTTTTTTTTTTTACTAGCATGTGTATATCAGGTGTCTAAAGGAACTTACTATCATTTCTTAAAGCAGAATTGGTGTAACACAGGGTCACAACACAGGTCATTACACCAAGTTGTGTGTCCACTCTGATAGACACATGCAATAATCATGTGTATATCTATACCATGGATTTTTTCAGTCATGGGCCTTCCAAAGCTTTAGCATTTCAACAGTTGCTATGGAAGAGCTCAGCATTTCTGGAAGCAGTATTTTTGCTTTGATAGATCAAGTAGCTATTCCTTCTCAGTATTGATGACAAGATCCACCCATAGACTTTATTGCCAACATGGAGCATTAACCAAGGAGAGATCCTGCATATTAGGCTAAAATATAATACCAAGACAATGTATCTGCAACAAAATTATTTCCTTATTAAAATAATTACGTTTTGGAATTTGTATGATGGGTACCAAGCCTTTCTGAAATATACATGGTACATGTGGCATATTCAGTGTAACCACAGGCTAGCAGGTATCTCTAAAATCTCTGCCTGTGCCTGTCTTTCAAAATGTATTGAGCAATTGTACTTTCATCTTCACCTTTCAAACAATGTTGATTCCACAGTCAGAGTATTTTTGTACAACACAACTGTGATTGTTTCTCATGATTAAAGAAATACAGAATCTAACTAATTTACATAATATGAATCATCTACTATGAATTTTCCCTTTATCTTCAAGTGCTAGAGCAACCCAATATAAATCCCTCAGGAACACAAAAGAACAGAGTTATCTTAAGCTAAAGTCTGCCCTTGAAAAACAAAATTTTGTTCAGGCTCCAGCTGTGCTCCAAAGTCATCTATGACTGACATTATTTTAAGTGGTTTGTCTAAGATGGAAGGCCAGACAATGATTGCTAAACATTCCAGAAAGTATTATTAACCTTACAAAAAATTATTCATGGATGAATAGTTAAAAAGTTGCTAACAGCAAAGGACTAAAGAAAATCCTAATGCACTCTCTCTCTTAAATATCAAGTTTTCCTCTGGTCTACATGACATGGTGTAAAAAGTAAGTATAAAAGTTTTATTTTATCCATCCTAGTCCTGCCTCCTGTTTCATCATCTTGACTCAATTGTTGTCATTCCATGCCATTAAAAAAATGTTGATTGTAGAAAGGACCAGAGGGTTTCTTAGGAGAACACTCTCACATGGTGTTTGTAAAAGAGTCAGACACACTACATGCTCCCACATGCACATACATGTAATATATACACACGCCCACACACACACACATATATATATATATTACCAGTAGATGCTGCAGACATAAAATGCCTGCTGAGCTTAGCAGGTCCAATTCAATCAATGCATGCACTCTGCAATGTCATAGCTCAGGAAGCTTTTCAAGGAAAATGCCAGGCCAGGTCAGATGTGGCACTGTTCTGTCTGTCCTGCCTGCATTACCTGCCAGACAAAAGACTTTTGACAAACTACACTGCCAAAATTGTCTTCTTTTTCAACCTATCTAACCTTAGCACTGACCACTATGAGCTGTTCCTTTTCATCCAGTTTAGCAATTACTGTCTTTGCTATCACGGTCCCTGCCTCCAACTCCATTTCAACATGCATTTCCCAATTCATGCTTTAACACTTTTCCCAATTCCCATTAAAGTATCAGTATTCACATTCCTAACATCTTTTTTGTCTTTTACCACTTACTAAATGTTTGATGAGCAACACAAAGACTTTCCAAAGCATTCATTCACCTGACTTTACAGTGAAAGACAGTACAGAATCAACTTTATACATGGAATTAATGCTGAGCACACTGAAATACCTACACCTGGTATTCTGAATGTATCAGTGGTATTCTTTGGCACCTCTGATTTTTTATGCATAAAAAAGTCATGTATGCCATTAGGGAAAATCCAAAATGCAGTTCTGTTTTGCCTCATAGAGTACTGGTTTGCTTCTTTTTCCCTTGTAATATTAACTCTGGTCTGCAATATTGGCCTGCTCTGCAAAATTCTCTCATTCTCTCCCACACAAACATGGGAGAACCTTTTACTGTTCTATTTATTGTTGACAGGTGCTGCTTATGTTATATCCAGCAATACCATCAAAGGGCTTGTGTTAGGTACCACACATGTGAATTCCTGACACTCCTGTGGGAAGCAGCTGTACATTCTCACTACTTGAGCCAACTTTAAAATCTCTTTAAAGCACTGCTAGGTGGACAGGAATTCTTATTTATCAAGGATAAGGACAGATCTGAACAGCTTTACTACAGGGAAGGCTTTTAGGAGTGTACATGGCAGCTGGTGGCATTTCTAGCATGTCTAGGGCTGAGATCTTCTTTCCAGGAAAAAATG